GCACAAAAGCACTACAAGATCCTTTAGCTCTAGTCTTGACTTCGAAAAGGAATCCTGGCCGCACTGACTTGAAGTGTTTTATTATAGTTTCCTCAAACCTGGCGGCAAATGATTCCTTTGTAGGAGGTGAACAATTTTAGATTGCTACCTCTGATTTATTCAGCTATGCCTCCCATCCTGGAGCTTCTCGTCCGGGGGTCATAGGTGCGGCAGAGCGATCCACTTAGTTACCAATGCGCTGGTCCCTGTCTTGGATCAGCACTTTCTCTGCCACGCTTCTGACCAGCAATAGCTTCTCAAAAGGCGGAGTTCTTGGTAGCATGTTGAACGTCAGCCTGTTGTGAAGTGTGTGTTGGATGTCATTAGATAGTAACGGACCGTCGACATAAAGTATTCTCTCACGCTTGTCCTTGCTGATCCCCTGCTTTCTAGGAAAGCTAGCAAAATGTTGCTGCCTGCGGAATTCCGTAATCTGCTTCACGCTTCGAAGGAGGAATGCAAAACTCCTCTCAGTTGCTGCTCGTTCTTGCTCTCTCGCTAGTCATGGCACATTTAGGCTTTCCTTGTAGCTATCCACTTGTTTTCTAGTCTCAGTCCTAATGACATTGAATATACTTTTGGCGTAGGCAGCAGACGGGAGACAGCCGTTGAAGGGCCTTAACACTTATGGTGCCAGGTATGCAGTGTGAACGGCTAATACATATACTCATGGTCGGTAGCACAATACGATCATCAGATTATAAAAGTAAGAGTGTAAGGAGAACCTAAAGAAATGACCAATAAAAGAAGCAATTAATTGTGGCAATATCCTAAGTTGGCCTAGTTGCTTTTTCATCACGAACTGACCGGAAAAAAATAACAAAAAACAGGAAAAAAAGATGAGGTAGCAGGCGTAACTCGCAATTGAATAAAAAAAAAAACACACACGCAGAAAACAAGAATCATATAAAATTAAGACAAGGGGCAGAAGCATGTGTGCGGGCGAACCATTGTTTGCCTTTCTTGATAAATAATTTGTATCTCTGCAGAAGGAGTGCGTAAATGGCGAGTTATTTTCACAAACAGTATATAAGTGAGTGTGTTTCGAATTAAGCTTTCAATTGCAAGTTACGCCTCTTGTGTTTTCCTACCTTGCGTACTTGCTTTGCCTTGGCGTTTATTTCGAGATGACAAAAACATCTAACACAACACAATATTTTGCTTCATTAAATTTCTTCCACCAACGCATCATTTTTATCTTCTCGAAACCTTTACCAGTACACTCTCGATCTTAAAAACCTGATGGCCATATGATGCTACCGAACAACAGAGTGTGTTTATGCATTTCACACCAGACGCCTCCCACCAGATGTTTTGACACTCTTCAATGGCCGTTCCTCGTCTGCTGGTCACGCCAAAATGATACGTGAAATCATTAAATCCAAGACATGGAAACAAGCAGATATGCTCAAGGGCTTGCTAAAGGGACTGCACTCTACGGAAGGTCAAAAACTAGCAGAAGCTGAGAGGAGTTTTGCATTCCTCTTTCCGTGCGCCAAGCAGGGTATGAAATTTCTATGGTAGAAACAATTGGCTTGCTTGCCAAGAAAGCCACGGACTAACAAGGAACAGCGTGAGGGTGTAGCTTTCCTCGGCAGTTCGTCACTGCCCGATAAAACCCGACAGACCCTGAACAATTGGTTCGAGTTCAGTGCGGAACCAAGAGTTCTGCCCCTGATAAGCTCTCTCTTGTCAGAAGCATGTTAGAGCAAGTTGTGATCCAAGACAGGTATCGGTGCCTTGCTTACAGAGTGGGCGTGCTGCTCACTACTGCTGGCATGTAGTCTTCGTTTCCCGGCCTCAAGAGTTCTTCGCTCCCGACTCCGGGTAAACTATCTTCACAAACGTCAAGTCAGTGCAGCCGGAATAAACTATAATAATACATGGACAACAGAGAAACAGATGATATTAACAAATTGGGTACAAAGGACAAACACATATCTCAACACAGCTTTGTGATTGTGCATGTCGAAAGTCGAGCAGACGCCGATAGGATCCAGCCAAGATTCCTGATCAAGATGAAGTCTAGGGTTAAGTAATTGTGCAGTGCTTTAGTACTTCAGGGGTTAGAAATGAAGGTGCCTTCAAGGAAGAAAGAGCTTTTCCTGGGTATTTTCTTCACAGCCAAAAGGCGCAGAATGGACTTTCCGTTTAGGGACATATTGACGGAAAGTAATTTGTGGCAGTTTTAAATGTCTTCTCTCTCAGTATCCACTTTTCCTCACTGGAGCTGGCGAAAAAATTTGGTTCCCAGTTGGGACGAGGTTTTGAATTTTTTGAGAGAGCAGGCCTAGGAGAAATTTTGACATTTTCGATTGACGTAGATGACCTTTTTTACTCTGTCCCACATCAATATATTTTTAACGCAGTAAGACATTTTAGAGGCACCAACGGAAAGCCGGCCCTCTGAGGTGCGTATGGGACTAGTGTGGACAGCTTTATTGCACTTTTGTCTTCTTACCTAGGCCATACTGTGTCTCCTTTGACGGGTTATTGACGGGTGCAAAACTAGGTTATTTTTATCAGGTCGCGAGTCACTCCTGTTCTTTGTAACATTTACTTAGCTCCCTGTGACGACGCTATTTTTCAAAGGCTTGAGGTGAAGGAGACCTCTACGATCTTTAGATAAATTAGGGAGTTTTTGTGGATCGTTTTCTCCGTCCCGTAACACTCTCCGCAACCCGCTACGATAGCCGGAAACTCTACAGTCAAAGCCATCGGCGCACAGTCACAGTAGCGACTTCAACATTCCGGAGGCCTCAGTGGAGGTGGAAACGCGGTCTACGAAAACTTCATATTGATGACTACCTTTTAATTGTTCTACCACTTAATAACCTCAAGGAGGCAACAGTGGCCGATTGGTTGGGCACCTTCACTGCTTGCTCCGATGGACTGAAAGTTATTCATGAAAAAGCTTGTGACGGACACCTCCAATTTTTTTGTTTCCAACTTATATTTCCGGATGACCTCATTCGCTCGGCCTAGGAACACCGCTCCAAAAAAGCCGTCATACTATAGGACTCGACCCAGTCCAAGCGGGTGAATAAAATTCCGAGGACACCTAAGCACTTCTTATAAGTTGTGAATGCGGAAGCATAACTTCCCCTCGCTTGTGTCTGCTGCGCCGCTGGGTGAGGCAGGGGCGGGACGGCGAAGCTCGACGCGGCGTGTGCTGAAATCACGTGTCCTCTCAATATCATCATCGCCATAGCTGCGGGTACCGGTTCACGAAGCTTAACGCCTCTAAGCTTAACGTTAGGCTTAACGTCAGGCCAGGGCAGACCCGTGCCCACCCCTCCCGCTGCGCCGCTAGCAGTTCGGCTGGCTCCTTCGCTGCGATAACACCGTTGCTATGGAGCCATATGATGCGTCACAGCCAATGGGAATTTATGTCCCGTTTCGCTCAGGGAAATTTAGGTGCCGTTTTTCGCATCTTCAGACGGAAATAAGGTGCCGTTTCGCTCAGACAATGGGAATTGAGGTGCCGTTTATCGCTGCTTCAGACAACGATAACGCCGGCTCCACTCAGATAACGCCGTTTTGCTCTCCGGGACAGTTAATCCTTTCCCATTAAAAGAGGCTTTGCTACTTCGTGCCTTGGAACCTCTTTGACTAAGTCATGTCCTGAGGAAATGGGGAGAAGCTTCCAACGACATGTCGACCGACTTAAGATGAGAGCGTTTGCGCAAGAAACCTTGATTGACGTTGCAGAGGGCCCGAAGAGGAAGCTTTTCGGCACCCAGAAGAGAACTTGATAGCGCGAGAGGAAAATGCCGGAGATAGCTCTGTTGTACATTCCTTATTTCTCAACTTTAAATTTGGTGAATGCTAACATGTCATGGTGTTTTTTTTGTTTTTTTTTCCGCTCCGAACAAGACATTTGGTTTGTGTCGAAATATAAATTGCCCTGACTTGGAGAGTGACGGCTGAAAGAAAAAGCACAAAAGCAAATTCGTGGAATGCACCACGGGGATGATATATGACAATTCACCTTCATGCGGTCGCTCTTACGTAGGCCCAAAAGAGTGATACGTCAGTGGCTGCGCATGGGAGGACGCGGCCACCACTAAGCAGTCATCGTCGGGTCACTTGGCAGTGGGTCTCAATGTTTGCGATCGCGCACCGTATTTTTCGAACATCAAGGCCATGAAGAGAGACAGAAACAAAATGACAAGGGAATTACAGGAAGCCTATGAAATAAAAACAGCAGCATACTCAAGTGTGTGTACGTTGGCCACCGTTGGCCCTTATTGATAAAGTATTTGCATTTGTAAATGATGTGTTGTTTTCACGTACAGTTTGTAACTGACTGTTTCAAAGTAAGCTTTCATTGCAAATTACGCCTCGTGCTGTGTCTTTCCTCTCTTTGTCATTTTGCGCGTTCAGCTGGAGGAACAAATCAACAAGCCCTACTTACTATTGTTATGTGCGATATTCATTTGCTTTTTGCTTTACGAAATTTATTAGGGCGCTTCGCCAAATCCTTTGGTCGCATTCCTTAGTCTCTTAACGACTCTTTTAACGGAGCATAATTTTAATCCCATATTATGCGGGAGATAGCGTAGCTGTGCCACATTTTCCCGTCGTTTCAATGAATATCTTCAGCGGTAGCTAACAGTGGAAAGATAGAAACTGACTTCATCATATTTTAATGAAATTGAAGAAATACTCCTTGAGTTATCCGCTCCAAATGAAATGCGCAAACATATTCAAGGGAGGTTTCCAGGGCTCCACTAATTGTCTGTGATCTCAGCTGTAAGGGTTGGAAAAAAAGATGGGGACCAAGAGCGAGGGGGAAGTACGTGGAGCGTAAATGAAATGAATGACAAACTCTAAGTCGACATTAATGTTTGGTACATAACTACCGATTCTCAGAAGATTTATTTACGATTTATATAATTGAAAATTTCAATACTAAAAGTTGACTTTTGCTACCACTTTTTCAATTCAAAACATTGCAGCTGCATCTTATGTTTCGGGACCATGTCATAACCGACGAACAGCGTTGTCTATCGACGATGGAAAGACATTTTCTGGCGTTCCTGCTATGGTACAGCAAATCGCCCGACTGTGAGCAATTTTACTCAACGATTGCACGAAGCATTACTCTCCGTAAGCAACATCGAGAATTAGAAACAAATTCAGAGATTATAGCAATGTCTACTTGGGTTCCGTGTTTAGGTGGTGACACGAACGGCGGTAGTAGTGCAGGTCGCAACGGGAAGGTTCGGACGACCGCTATCTCACAGGATGTGGGATCGAGAAACAAGAACAGAGGCAAGCAAACTCAGCTGGCATTGCGAGAACTTTCCAGTGAAATTTGTTGATATCAAAATCTCCGAAGGATACACTGCAATCCACGTTGACACGGCCTTCAGACCTTGCGTCAAAGAGAGGCGTTAATAGATAGCTCACACTCTTTGTACTTCATTCAACCCGTCTCCCAGATTTAAATACCCATCGTACACGTCATAACATATTTCTAATCCCAGCCTGAAGCATTTTTAAAGAAACAGCTATCCTTATCGGTGGTAAACGATGATGACCAAAGCCATTAATCATTCCGAATCTCTCCCATTCTTGTAGGATACGGCTTACGAAGATTGCTGCGTCTGTCTGAACAAACGCTTGTCAAAACGATTGCCATTAATAAACGTGCCTTTCCGCTTCTTACATGCTATAAGTACAATATAGAGACCATGGCTTCTCCCATTGCGCCGTCCGTGTGCAGAGAGTCATTCGGAAAGTCCATAAAGGACACCAGCTCAGGGTAAGAACTCAAAATCCAACTATCTTCAGCTGGAGCACGTTGCCATCTTCCTGGGCTACGCATTACTCGTCTTAGAAAGGGCCAATTTGGACCGTTTTTAAGACCAGTAATACCCGCAAGGTGACGTCCAATGTCGAAGGTCTAGCTGCTGGTGGCAGGTAGTTGTCCGAGTCGATGTGGCTAACTGGTAGCCAGCAGTCACCAGAATCTTCGACTCCGTACGTTGCCTTACGCGCACCGCTGCAGCAATGAGGACTCAGCCTGATCACCTATTGGATAATCTCCGTGCGCCAGCCTGGCTAGTCCTTCCCCTGCACGACTGCCCCAGTTTTACGCCCTCTCAAGACCGTTTGCCGCACATTGAGTACCGCACCACGACGAAGCAAGTTGAAGGAATTTCGGCTTTACGTCACAAGCCCCGTCTTGTTAGACTGCTCAACTATGCCGTACCGTCTCTCTCCCCTGTTTGTACTTATGCATCCGGCCCTCGAATCGTAAAACCTTCCTATTAGTTCATGTGCGATTATTAGTAACTTGCTTAACTCTTCGTGTACCCTCCGTTGCGTGTTTTGTTTTATCGGAATAATCTTTTTGTATTAAGTGTGTCCACAAACCATTTCGCCCCAGTGTGTCTGTCTTTGTCCCCCGCGTCTCCTGAGCCCTGGAGCTGTGAGATGGCGGACGTCCGAATCTTCCCGGAGCGACCCATGATACTACCGGCATGGTTAGCGACAGGTGTACATGTATGTTAGGGCGTTTAATGTAATTGTTATTAAAAAATATTCACGCTAAAATAAAATATTTATCGAGTGGTTTAGAAAAATTAACAAACCTTGCGAAGTGGTAAATTGTAGAAGTAATTTTCTGAAATTAAACCAACTTCAGTTTTATTGTGTGCGTACCGGGCCGCCGAAGCACCTACTGAATTGTAAAAGCTATTCTCGATCGACACTGCAGCGGGATATCTTTATCGAACTTAACATTCATTCAAAGCAGAGGTAAGACCTAGCACGTTTTAAACGTGCAAAAATGTCAACTCTTTGTTGCCCTTTAAGCTCTATGTTTTTGTTTAACATTGCGATCTCCCAGGTTTCTGAGCCTTTTGTCTTTATCCAACCTCGCACTCCTTCGTTTTGTTGAGTTCTGCATTTTTATTTAAAAGTGCAATACCTCAATTTTTTTAGTTTTGTGCTTTTATTGAACATTGCGATTTCTCAGGTTGCTGAGTGTTGCATTTATTTTTATTCATCATTGTAGTAACTCACGCTCTTAATCTTTGTTTCTACGTTTTTTAACATTGCATTCTCTCAGTCTGATGAACTTTATATTTCGATCGTTGGTGTACGTTTCCCACCAAATAACATAATCATTAACAACAAAAATAACGTGCATATCATTACTAATATCAATATTATCAGGTTTCAGTTTTTCACTAGCGCATAATCGGATAGCCGAAGATAGAACTAGGCAGAGCGTAGACGACGCAGTCGTGTACTTGTCTCGCCAATACGGATATGGCGCCACACGCCCGACTATTGGGCGCTTAGTGTTTTTGTATTGAGAGCCGGGGTCGCCGCCCTGTTAGAGGGGCTTTCGTAAGCAGTTGCATGTACGGATGCCACTTTGCACACCTCCGGCCGGTCTGCGACTACGGTGGTGTTCGCGTCCGCGCATTCGGAAAAGCTTGTGCAGTAGGTCAACAGTCCAATTTCGGCAATCTGATCGGCGAGCTTGAAGCCGCCATAGGTAACGCCAGTTGAAAGACTCTCAACGACAGCGGCACCGAATAAACTTAATGACGCCATTACCGCCGTTCGTCTCAGCGGCCACCATTGGCGGCGCCGAACCGTCCACACGTTGACTGTGGTACAGTTCCCGATACCCGATATGTAGTTCCGCTAATACCAAGGGTGGTTTTCTGATCAATCCAGCCGTCGCTCCCGGCGGCTAAAATAGCCGCAACAGGAGTTTTTCTGGTCACCTGACCTAGCACTTCAGCTGACTCCGCTCACATTACGTATAGCATGTCTGTGGAGCATTTTTTTAGTTATCGCGAATTTCTCCAGAAATAACTATACATGTACATCATGAAGTACTTCATGTCTCCGCAAAACTTTGTATTTTTACCGCAAAACTAGGCAACGCGTCACCGAACGCTCATCATCTGGCTAATCGTATATTAGTACTACTGGTCCGAACCAAACGGTAAACTTTCCTAACTAACCGTTATTATATTAAAAAGTTATGGGGATCTTTTTTTTTTAATTTCAATGGAGGAATGGGGCCATTTTAGTAACATGGCGTCATTCAGCCACATGTACTGGGGAGCTTCATCGGCCGCCATTTTACCAAGTCAGACGTTGTTTTTGGACTCAATAAACGTTTTTTTACACACTCCTGTATTGAAAGTTTGTGCACCCCAAGACATGAGACAAATGTCAGAGTAAAGTGGATTTAGGAATCAGCGCAGGCATAGCATGGAACCCACCAAAAAAAAAAGCGGAATTTATGGCGCGTCTGCGAGTGGACGTTCCGAATAAAGCGGACACTTTGAGGATCAGTGCACATCCATATGCAAAGGTATCGGCATCGTTAAAGCCATCGCGGCGTGATTCCTATTTGAGAAAAAAAAGAACGCTAAAATAATTTTATTTTCATATCTCGTTGGTGGCTATATCGGCATATTTCGAAGGATCAAATAAAGCATTAAAACGAAACAGCAGTGTGTTGAAAGAATAGGCTACGTCCATGAGCAGGACTTGTTACTTTGTGGTAACCGGTTTCGCGGCAAGACTTTTGAATCTAACTAATTTGTGGTTGAATAATAAAACAATGTCTCTGAGGTAGCAATATCTTCTTTTCCTTCTTAATGATTGGCCTCATAGCTTGCAAGTTACAGAAGGGTCATACCATGCCAAATAAAAACGCGGAAATGGGCATATGCAGGAAAAATATTTGTGTAAAGAGGCTTCTGAACTCTATAAAAATACTTTTGCGAAAATATAAATCTTATTTTTGCTGAAATAATGCTATACATTTCTTGAATTTGCATAAATCCCGTGTTGTTAATAGAATCATTGTTCAAAAACGCTTATGTACCACATAAATTTAGGTGGCCGCCTAAATACTTAACAGCATGCCCTACCTTACACTAGAATAAAAATATTAACAGACGCCATTTTGAGTCCAAATTAGAAGCTCCAAAAAATTCACTTTGATTCCTTTGTTTTCTATAGTCAATCTGGAGTTGATTATTAGCTACAATACTTTTTTCGTTTGCTTTCATGGAGAAAATAATTGAATTGCACGTGTTAAACTTCCCAAATATCGCTTTGTTGCGTTTGGAATATATTACGAAATATAAAGTTGATGCAGGAACGACCTAATATAAAGGAAAAAAAAAACAATGTGGGCATCGGGGCCTGGAACTTCCGAAATAGCCAAATGTTCAATCCACCTCATCTCTTCACCATAGCAAAAAATAAAAAAAATAAAAATTAAAAAAAGTATTTGCTTTCTTTGTTGCGGAGAAATTCCTTTTTGAAGATAAACCTCTCCGACCATGCGTCCATTTGCCCGCATCCTAGGCGACGCAGTCTGGCTTTCGCCAACGAGGTGTCAACGGTGTGAGATGCCGTGGCAAGGTCGTCAACGCTCTCCTGAAAACACGTTTTAGTCACTTGATGAGGACGTTATCCTGACATCTAGTAATCCGTATCCCCTTTATTGTAGGAAATGCTACTGGCTTCTTACGTTTCCTCTTCTTCTACACAAGTAACATGCAACCAGGGCTGGGCACTATCGTGATACAAATCTACTGCGATAGTATCTTAGAGATACTTTCGAGCATCTATCTTTGTATAGAGCTACATTTGAAAACTGTATTTGCAATGCATCTTAGTAGTCAGATACATTTATGTTACATCGCGTTTATCGCGACACTTTGCCAGGCTTCGGCATGTCGCTACATTGGTTGTCCTTTTTAAAATAAATTTAAAATATAAAAATATTTGTTTGGTGCTAGTTGTTTCGTAATTTATTATATGAGCCCGCCCTTAGCACAATCAACCTCAGGCACCGAAATTTAATATAAAACAAAAACACTGCGGCTTAAGAAATGTTACGGGCCAAATTAACAAAATCAGCTCCTCCCACTAAGCCCGCCACTCTTTCCAATCTAGCAGAAAAACATTGTAAAGGAGCTGAGTGAACCAAAGGTATGTTCCTGTTGTCAATCACCCCACTCTGTGGGTGACACAGAAGCTTTTTAAGACGACAGTTTGAGATGCACACTCACAACAAAACAGGGTTCATTTCGGGCAGACGCTTTTTGTAAAGAATGGCTCGCAGTTTTACCGTTTCGAAACTATGTAGTTCAACGGCGGTGACGTGTTTTCTTTAGCGGCATTAATGGTCAATAAAAAGTTCGAGGTAAACGGAACATTATAAAGATGCACAAAAGAGGAGCACAAGCATCAATCACCATTCGTATTCGCCGCAAACTACTCTTCCCCGCCTAGCAGCGTTCGGAAACAAATTTATTTCTACGTGTATTTGTATCTGCAATCCGGAATTCTTTTTCGCCGATGTTGCAAATGTATCTCATGGATGCCTAAACGAGAAATGTATGTCAGTATCTGCATTTTGGGCATTAAAACACGTATATCTCAGTATTTGCATTTCCTAATACTTTTTGGGGTATCTCTGCCCAACTCTGTTTCCAACGAATGCCGGCCTGCACGGTCTGCTTCCTGTGTTTGGGAATGCATACTGCGCGTCTGCCTCGTCTGTCGTATGTCCACATATAAATACTACTCAGACCGGATACCTCGCTACCGATGCGATATGGTAATTGTGATGTAACTTCTACATTGAGCTTAAATGTCCCTATTGAAAATTCTCATTTGTATGAGAAATTTCGGTGTCCAATAGACACATATGAATCATACAAGATCTGTAAGAACATATAAGAACCGTATAATAACCATATAAGAACTATATAACAACTATATAAGGTATATAAGAACATGCAAGCACCATATTCTTATGTGGTTCTTATATATCTTGTATAGTTCTTATATAGTTCTTATACAGTCCTTATATGGTTCTTATATGTTCTTATATATCTTGTATGATTGATATGTGTTATTGGACACAACAAATTTCTCATACAAATGACTCTTTTCACTAGGGGTATTTAGATAGAACATGTGCTACTGAAAGCAGCGTAATGATAAAAAAAGAATTTCACTCTTCGCAGCCGAAGCCTTGAGGTCACCTAAATGTGCATAATTTTAGCCTCCAGAGTACACTGGAGGCCCAGGGAACATGTCTTGAATTTTGAACTTTCGAGTATTTTTAGAGGAAATCTGTTTGTTAATAGATAGGAGTTACACGATTGGCGTCTTCGCCATTACAGCGTCATGCTCGGCAGACATTAGATGAGGTAATAACTATCATGGTAAGTCGATTTATTGAACAAATTGTTGATTAACTTTTTAACTAATTGTTTCATGGCTGATGTTCCAATTACAGTATCGACAACAACTATCGCAGGCTTGATCAATTTACAAAATTTGTAAAAAAGGTAATAGTTTCTTAGATACTCATCCATCAGTTTTCGCGTGTTTACTCCTGATTTCAATAATGCCCGCAAAAAAAAAAAGTCCAAAAAGCATCACCCACAAGGACGCTGAGAAGAGTAACGTAGTTGTTTACACGACGTGGTCACTATCTCAACAGCGCCTTCTTCGTGGATGCGACAGCGAACTTCAAAATATCTTTGATATATCCAATAACATTTACGTTCAGTGCTGAAATCGACATCCCTGTTATTATTTTTCAGCGATGAACTATCCGGTCAGAATTGTTTTTTCGTGTGGACATATAACAGACGAGGTCGAGGCGCAGTATGCCTTTCCGAACTCGGGAAGCGGATGATGAACGCCTGCGCTCGTCAGCAGTCACCTTTGCAATAGAGTGAAATTAAGACGCCAGTATCATTACGTAAGGTAAAGAGTATACAGATCCGTAGATGTCAAGCTAACGTTTACTTCAACTGAATAAAGAGTGTTTTCAGGCGAGAGTTTAGAATCTAGCAGCGGCGTCGGCTGAGGGAACTTCACGCCTGCCTTCGAGGACAGTTTGCTACTCCATTAGACCACTTATTTGCTTATACAAAAATAATAAATATTCTGTAGGTGATGCTTACCTTTACTGTAGTCATACGAGAACGATAAAGCCTCAAGCAACGGCGGAACAAACCAATTTTACTAACGTATGATTAAGGCATCGAAATTGCGCATGACAATTTGTTTGGTTTTGATCATTACCAACGCTACACAGCTGGCATCTATTTAAAGTAAAGTTGTTTTTTTTATTTATCCCTTCAGAGTGCGCGCATATTTGTTAGATAGGTGACCACTACAAGGTACAAACAAAAAACTATATGCACTATATTCAACGCGTGCTCGTATCACAAAACGTGCAAGCGCAAGTTCTGACCAAACGTTAGGGCACTTTTTCGAAACGATTTTTAACCTTTCGCTGCTTGTTTTGTGGCCGTATTTCTTCAAATATTCTGCAATAGTTGCTATTTGTTGGCTTCTAAGCGATTCTTGGTCAGCGTTGGTTTTGGTGTTCGTAAAATGCAGAAGCACGCGACTGTCTCCGTTAACGACTGAACTAGAGAAACACGAATTCGAGGCGTATTTGCGGCAAATAAAACAAGCCTGCTTATATTTCTTATATTTCTTTATTTTCATTCATAGCCGCCCGCGGGCATAGGCAGTGAAAATCTGAGGAGCAGAAGAGCCGCTTTAATTTCTGGGTTGTATAAACTCCGAATGTAACTTGAAGCATTGAGTACTAGCCGATGTTCCTTTAGCACAACTACTGCGGCTGGCGCTACTGATCACAGCACAGAACTTGGTAAAGCTGAAAACCGCCGCCTCCGTGACCAGGAAAGCACACACACGGATGACGTTCACCAACATGAATTCGGCGGACTTGGAACCGAAGTCCGCCATATCAAACCGCTTAATAAATAATAAGTATTCTAAAAAAAAACTACGAGGATAATATATAACAAGTGGTCTCAGAGGGATTATATTTCTTCAAAGCGATGTGAAAGTCTTTTTGTCACGCCCGCCCTCTCTCTTGTAATGGGCGCTCATAAAACAAAGAGCAGTTAATTTGTTTCTAGGGGAGCTTTCTGTATATTTATCTATAAATAAAATAGCTACCTTAGAAGCGTTTGGAGTGAATGGCTCAGTCCTATAGGATTTCTGAATTCACAGTGGTGGTGCGAAGGACACTGTTGACCGTTGTAACACATGTCTAATTTCTTTTTGGTTTGAGCACAGCTTGCTTGCCTCGCTCTTTTCTAAATGTGCCGATGAGACTCATGCTTGAGCCTACTGAGAAATTCTTTTTACCGTGTTTATGTGAAGTATATTTACAGCTTCGTATAATTAACTAATAGAGTAGGGAGCGGACATCTATGATCAATTTCGTTGTTTTCCTGTGCACGCGTCCTCACTATGCATTCTTCCTTTGCGTCTGTCTTTTGCAGGCTTGGCATAAAATGGGACGACTCGAGGTCAACCGAAAAGCCGTGCAAAGTTACTGACGGTTACATCATGACTAAAAATGGCGAGCGTACCGAATCAGCAAATTTTTCCTTCTGCTCTTACGATGCCTGGGACTTTAACTACTTTTTGCTGTTAAGTAACACTTGCTGTTAAGTAACATTGCGATCAGTCAATCTAGGTCACATTTTCTTTACTGACACATATTATTCGGGCAGGCGACACGTTGGTAAAGCATGTGTTTGAACGTTTAGAAGACTAGGATTAGAAAAGTCACCCAAAATCATGTGTCGCGGATGTTAGACCCGCAATAATTAATGAAGGTGGTTCTGCCATTCGTCACTCATATGGGTGGCATATTTTATCGTTGTACTTAGCGCCCTCTTTCCCGCGTAAGATTCTCTTTGCGATGTTATATGTAAAGATAATTTCGAAAAATAAATATTGTTTTCGAACTTCCTTTATTTAAAATTTGAAAACGAATGGCAGAACCACCTGCATTATAGTATAGAAGATCATTCAAATACTGCAGCCCGCTTTATCTTATTTCCAGTATTTGTTCTGCTCGACAGATTTTAAAAGGCTCCGTCCAGCAAAACATCATCTTGGACTCGACTCCTTATTATAATCTGATCCTTTGACGCGTACGAGAGGCAATGCGCGCCTGTTTTTTTTTTTTTTCTTTGTTATTGCATTACATAAGAGTAAATATGTGAATCTTGCATTTTTGGTAGAGCAAGGGTTCAAATACGTTGCAAAATGTACACAATTTTAAGATTGAACAGAGCAAAGATTTAAAAAATCCTAAAGAGCATGAGAGCCAGTCTTACCAAACAGATCCTCATTGAAACTATTTACAGCGGGCAGCAGGAAACAAATAAAGTTTAACCTTACAGCGCGATAAGCCAGCTTTTATTTATTTGTGTAGTGTAACACAAATATCAATTTAGATAACATAATGGAATTGAGACACGATACCCAATCAGATATTATGAGAGAACTAATGGGTGTTCTTCTTTATCAGGTGGATTACATCATGTAAGTTATAAAGGACGTAGCCGATACGACCAAGTTTCCTCATTAATAGAAACATTTTTTTTTGTATCAGAAGCCTTCGATATATTAATGCAACAATTTATAACTTCTTTGTTCTAAATCGCCAAAAAAATTAACTTTAAATAAACTTTCTACAGTACTTCCCTAGGAGATTGTATATTTCTCTTTATAGATTTTCAAGGCAAAAATAAGAAGTCTGTAATGTAATAAAACAATATCAAATACTGTGAAAACCGTAGGTAGGAACACGAGCCGTTAGCTACCGATAAATCAAGCTTTTCGTAGCCTAAATATTTATACTGTAATGGAACGTTTACTTTCTATATAAGTCCTAAACGATAGATGAATATTTAGCTGTTAAACATGGCACACTAAATCTTGAAGGGCCCATGGAACGAATTTTGGGCTGGAGTAAATCAATTTATATTGAAATTTTACTAATAGCGCATCGTTCAGTGGGCCAAAAGAACAAAGGTAGAATATCAAACGCCTGACTTTCGGTACGAACATTTGGAAAACACAGCGGACTATTTCGTACCTCCTTCCCTTCGTAAGCTCTCTGGCTTTTCACTGTGATACATCTGCGGACCCCGCAGCGCGTCCCCGGGCACCCGCAGCGCGTCATCGGGCCCAAACGCACGTCATATGGCACCGGACCTCACTTAGTCCCTTCACCCCTAAGTTGACACTGTGGTGGAAGCTACGCGCTTGCCGGACCAATCAGCCACCTCCCTCTCATCACCAGACCTCATTCTCTGCGCGTGGGTATGCGCGAGAGAGCGACGGGATAATCTTCCAGGGGGACAATGGCTGTGTCCGGCTACAAAAACGAGATTCGGAGCAAGAGGGGCTCCCCCCTTTCCGTCTTCTTGAACTGTTTGGTAGAATGCGCGATTTATGAATTGAGGAGGAAAGCTAAACAGGAAAAAGTTGGAAAAGCTTTTCATGACTCCTTTGAACCATTAATATTTCAGAAAGTAAGAAAACGCGGTCCATTAGGCTTAAGGCCTCTTAGTCGCTAGTACATCTTTGTCGTGACCTATTTAAGGAGACAGATTTTTATTGACTGATCTATGATAAGTTTTAAAACTCGTTGGTACATTGTGCAATTTATAGACCGTTCTAAATTCGCTAATTTAAGGACGAGGTGAGCCTGAGAACGTTTTTCGTCTTTAAGAAATTCGCCCGTATATTTTTTCTTCCATAAAGACGTTGTTTCAATATTACTCTTGAATTCTACACGAGATTAAAGATCTTCCCGCAAATATGTTCATGCGAAAGATTTATTATCTGATCCAAACCCGTACCAACAAATGAATGTAAAAACAGCGTAAGGAGACAACCTTTTGTACATAGGCAGTAGGTACATCTCAAATTATCTGCCAATATTTCGATATAACCAGAAAGCACGACAAACCAACATGTGAATAAAGGTAAAAAAGAAAACAATCGTCTTACAACCTGATAAAATCTTATATCTGACCTGATTGAGAAATTAATCATTTAATAGCTAACCCATACAATATTTTTACGGATTTTACGGCGAATTTTGCAGTGCAAATCATAAGGAATGCTTTAATCGCACTGCTGAACCCATGGATTCTGAAAACAACGAACTTCCGGCGAGTTTCTTCAATGATTCTGACTACTGCGAAGTATTATCTGTACGCAAGAATGCGTCCACATGCGAGGTAACTGCTCAATTATTTTGTGGTTTGGCCAGGGTACCATTTACGTGAAAGGTTTAACATTCAAAATAAAAAAGTGTTTTTTAGAAGAAACTCTCCCATACTAGAAGGTTTACTGATAGCCCTACTGGAGAGTTTTTTGTCGAGTCATAGACAGAGTAAGCTGGAACGCTCGCGCGACGACCGACGTTTACATGACGAGATTTTGAATTAACTTGAGAATGTGATCATGGTGGAACCTGAGGCGATACCTTCCATCAACAAGCCTTTCATGCAATTAGAGATAGAATTCAATGAACCTTGGTGTTGATGCTCATGTTTATTACGTGCCCAAAAGCACTATGAATGTTTCGACGTTGGTGCAAAGGAAGTCACTCCAAAGTAAAAACAAAAAAACAAAAAAAACGTTCAAAGAGATGAAACACATAAATTACCCATCAAAAATCCTGTCATACTAAATCATATTACAGATATAATTCGCTATTTAAAGGTTAACATCAGGCATATAAAGGTAATCGTTCTCAATATGGGTATTGCAAAAAAAATTTGAATTCGATATATTGGTGATACTTAAAAAATACTTGTCGTTATGAAACGTTGCCTTGACATTTTTTTTTTTGTGTTAGCGCCTGCAACAACCTGACTCTGGAATAATTATAAAAACATCCCGACTTTCCAATAGGACAATACATCATCTTAATTCAATTATTGAACTTCAGCTCTCCAGCGCGCTTGGCAGGTGCTGCTGTTTTATTATTTTTTTATTAGACAGGTTTAGTGGATTTGGAGCATGCTTTGCAGGTTTCCGTTTGAAAGCTATATATTAATTATCACGTATTAAGGAGAGTAATGACAAACTTTATTTGATTATTGAAGCTATTGTGAAGATTAGCCCTTCGTATTATTTCTCTTTGGCGGTAAAGCTAATCTGCCCAAAGAGATTTGTTCTAACTTTAATGGCTTTTTGTTTGTTCTTATCTCTTCGAATAAAATCAAACACCCAGCCAGGGGGCCCGTAATGTCAGCCCCGGTCAAAGCGTTCATAACTTGATCGGACGAGTCATATAACAGTGGCGTTGCATTCGAATACGCATTCTTTCCCAAAGCTGGTTCAACTTCCATTCGGGGGAAGGAGCAACTAGTTTCTCTCGGTAGTCTCTCGCGCATCTATGGGTGCGCTGTCCGTGAAAGTGGATTATTAGCATTTACAGTGAAGTTGCATTGGGCCACTCCGGTTCTGCAGTGCTTAATTTTAATATAAAACATCTCAGAGACTGCAGTCGCTTAGATTTTGCATGATTGCCTAACAATTGAGTTGTATTTATAAGGAAATTTTTCTTTGTATTTTCTTATTTTACATGCAGATTTGTATTATGTCCTTCCAGTAGCTGTTCATTGTGCTTGACTGTGAACAGCTGTTGTTTAAACTATAGCAAATGAGAGATTAAGAACCCGGTAAAGGCGTCTTCTACCAAATTTAGTGTGTCCGCTCTGCTTTCGAAAACATCGTGCTTCGTCTGCTGTGCCCCGTGGCGACATTGACAACAACGGTTGCAAGCGCAAGTGGAAGGAGAGAGGTCCGCTGCTGAAAGAGCGGGACGGTATCATTGTAAGGCGTCGCACGGCCATCGTGAAGACAAAAAAACGTTTTCACCTAGTGTTGTCGACGATGATGCCAGGACACGATTGCAACTTTTAGAGATGACGCCTTCCTGTTTAATAGTGGTAGGACAAGGCAGACGATCCTTGCTTACCCAAATTTCCGTGAACCGAACCCAACGACGAGACATCGCATAAGTGCCACGTTATACGGATAAATGCACACTGCTTTGTGGGCCTCATTTCTTGGGTCATTAATTTGTTAAAGCCAACAAGAACAAAACGGATTCCAGTGAGGCAGAGCGGCGGCGGCGTCGCTCGATAGTCTCACGCAGCGTACTGAGGCAAGAAAACGATCCTTATGTTGACCCATAGCAACCATCGGGAAGAAGCGCTGATATCACTACAGTTTCCTTAGATGGGAGAGAGCTCTAAACCTACGAGGAGAAGCCATAGTTGCTGACGAAGTGTGCCAACCGTTGTTAGGTCTCGACTGGATGAAGCGGGCACACTAAGCACTTTGACTGCGAAAATCCCATAGCATTGACTTCGCACGTCGTCGCACAGAAAACCCACAGACCAAAGCGGACACCGGCAAGACTTAGCGACGTAAACCCGGGCAGGCAGTGCTGAATATCACTGCAAGAACGCAGCGCTGCTGTAGCCAATCGCGCAACGTCGTCATAATAAAATAATTCGTCAGGCCGTGAGGTCAGTGAAGTCACTCTTCAAGGGATAGTGTTTGACTGGCAGAGTAATAGTCATATTTCTGAGGGACAGCTGTTGCTGGTTTTTTTTAGCAGTCACCATCTATATATTGTTACCTGCGCTCAGTAAGTGGCTCCAAATGTAGAACCAAGATGGCGCCGGTGACACCGGCTATTAAATTTAAAAGAAAAACATGTTTTGACACGCATCTGCGACGTTGGTAGGGTAGCTACTTTGACAGTTCACGTTTGATATAATTTAAATTTAACTTTAATGAAAACGGATGTGGCGTAGGGGCGAGTAAATGATAATTATAACCTGTTCTTATGTAACTGAAAAGCCGGCGAAAATTTAGCAAGTTGAAAGTAAGATTAGCGACTTCTCTTCTACATAGTCTATCTTAAAGTGAGCCTTAAAGTTAAGTCACCAAAATAATATCCGTAATCTTTACAGTATGGAAGTTAAGGTATTATGGGCTTTGCTTTACAGTATACTAGTTATGGTAAGGTAAAATAGCATATGCCGGCACAGCGGCCTTATATAATGCCGGCAGCCCCAGGTACGTCAGGTTGTTAAAGCCTATATTGGAGTGACATGCCATGCCCCATACTATCCTATTCTGGCGGCTTTTTAACCGAAGGAACATTTCAAAAAGATTATATTTATTTTTTTAAAACCACAGTGGGCGCGAGCCGTCGCGATAAGGAGGTAGCGCCATCTATCAATACGAACGCCAAACGCACCCCCGCTACTGGACCCCTGTCGTCTGCGTTGCTGCCCGCCGTAGATTCTGGCAAGTTTCTGGACCTTATTTTTACAGAAAGAGAGCTACGCTTGTAATTTTATAAAAAAAAACGACCCGTGAATTCCACCTTTCACGAAAAGTTTAGACTGTTACGTGCAGGAGTCGATTTTTACGGTCCATTTTAGATTGAGCCTGGTGACTTGAACCACCCTATATACAAGAGATAAGCTTTTTAAATAATACCACTACGCGCTTTTTGTTCGCAGTTACCGACGGCCGTTGAGAACGGTACGGCAGACACACCATGCCATATGCGGTGCTGCTTTGACAGCTCAAGTGTTATTGTAGACTCGCCTGATGGTACGAGATGTGACGAGGAAAAGGTACTGTCAAATGAAGCAATACACTTTAGTTCATTATTAATTTTATCGGTCCTGGCCGGTGTTTGCGACTACATAGAACACAAATAATTCTAATAGAATAATACAAAATAGCATTCATTTTTTATTACCTGTCGAGGTAAAGTAGGTATTTAAAGAAGAGTGGTAGAACCTAGATAATTTAAATACTCTTCAAAGAAAAGTCCGGCTGGTTTCAACAGACAGGACGTTACAACAACCTGTACGATGATGTCATGCATTTTAGTGATAAACAATGTAAAGAAGCGAACCTTAGACAGGTTATTTACGTTATCTAAAACTTTCCTCTGCTATAAACATGCACAACTGGCATCCCAGCACCTCATGTTTGATAATTCCTGCAAACTCTTTTGTATACACTATTGAGGTTTCCACCTTGACGACCGATTACCTCCAAATGCGACCCCGTCGCAGGCATGTCATGAAACATTCTATCAGCTGGCATCATGCTGCGGGAGCTCGCAGTAGCCGAACCCCCGCAGCTCTGTCATTTTCCTCGCTGCCTTGGTAATCGGGTGTCACAGAAAACCGATCTTTTAAACACTCACAAAAGGTGCAAAACATTCGTAATATAAGCAGAGAGTGTCATCTTGAAAATCGTGCGTGTGGTCTAAGTTGGTCATGACCACGCGTTACCCCCCGGATCAAACTGTGCTAAATCTCCGTATAGGCAAAGTGGGACCCACAGGGGAATTCTGCGGGCAGTCCCAGTTGGGCAGTCCCTCGCTCTGCCCCGTGAAGCCCAACTATCTGCTAAGTTTGTACCTCGCCATCACCACCCCCCTCCCCCCCCCCTCCCCCCTTCCCCCACGGCCGATGAGGGACCCACGGGGGCATTGCACGGGGAGCCAAAGTTGGGCATGCTCACAACTTACTCTCGCAGAGTTTACCTCTGTGCTTTGTCCCTGCATGGCCGAGGTGGTATCCACGAGAGAATTGCACACAGCCCAAGTTTGGGATGTCCACGACGTGCCCCTGTTCTAGGTCAAGGTTTGTGCTAGCTCTGCCCCCGCATTGCCTAGGTGGGACGCTTGTCGGCACTGCAGGTGCATCCAAATGTCTGGCCTAGCCAACATTCTTTGCGGGTGGAGCCCCTATGTTTGCTCACATTGTCCCCCATAACCGAGGTGGGAATCACAGGGGTATTTCAGAGGCAGCCCGAATTGGGCATGCTCTCGCGGAGCCGAAGACTAACCCATGGGGGTACAGCGTCGGCAGCCCAAGTGGGCCTGCCTTTGCTTTGCTCAGATCTACGCTAAGTTTCCTCGTATAGCCGAGAGACGACCTACGGGTGTGTTGCACACCCCTAATGGTACATTCCAGCGTCACACCTACGTCGGACACACGAAGGTAACGAAGGGGTGCCCCAGACCACTTTTCTAACGTGTTGCCCACGTGGGCACCCCTTAGTGTTTGCCTCCGTTTTATAATTATTGACGCATTCTGCATGCACCTTACAATTTAGAAATGATATAACTAATCAAAAACCGTAAATATTGAATGTAGATTCATGTTTGACTATATATAGCACTCAGTAACATCATGTGCGGAAAACTTTCATAGATATTGTTCATGCTTTCTATGGCACACCAGGAAGGTAATCATTGTTGGCCATTCGATAGTGAATCAGAGTGGTGAGTGAGTAGTTTATACGATAATTAAATCGCAGAAAATTTAAATTACAGATCGCATGATGTTTACATGTCTGTGATTTAATTTCATAACTAAAATTCTGAACATGCATACTACTATGTCATGACACAAACATATTCGACCGCAAATAGTGGCCATCTATAGTTTTAAACTTCCGGTGTAAAATTAAACTGCAGCCATTGTACAGACAGTATTAGTTATATGGTGTCATTCATTTTCTTTTCCAGGTGTGCCTTCAAGGAACTTGTGTTATGGAGAGAAAAAGGAACATCACTATTTCTCAATAAATCAGGCCTGACTCAAGCATTGAAGGCATTTGTCTAGTTTTGAACAGTACAAAATGTTTCACCTCTTTTATTCACTTCAACGTAGATATTGATCATGCAACGTTCATACATATTGCAGGGGTTATTAGCGTGCGCAAGGCGTCTTGCATAAGCTAGCCATTGTGAACACCTTGCCTGTAAATTCCTCTCTATACATTAGAAGGGAAGATCAGTGGCTTCCCTGCAGGCAGGGCAGAATTAAGGCAAGAGAGGAGGGCCCAGTTCAACAAAATGCGCGTGAATGGAGGAGGGGTAGGGGCATTATTTTGTGAACCGACACCATTTAGAATTCAGTTCTGAGAATAAATACAAACCGCCAATGACCATTAACATCAAAAAATATTTGATCTACAGACGTTTCAGAAAAGGACGCAATGGTTTTAGCTGGATAAGTTTTTTTTATCTAGTGCAGCTAAGGCAATGTTAATGTTGCAGTACTTTTCTACCAACAATATATCCTATATATTTATACAGGATAATCGTAGCAAATATACAAAAAGCTATGACTTCGTACAGGAATCAAATACCAGAGACGAAGACAATTTAGGTTCTCGCCAAGGCACACACAAATAGCTACAACTTTATTAAGAGCTCAAGTTGGAAAGAAAGTATACAGCATGGCTAAAAAAAACAGGGAGCATTTCTATAATATTTTTTAAATAAAAAAAGGATCAAGGAAATAAAATATTTTGGTTCCTAAGTAAGCCAATTCTTAGCAGATGTCTAGCTGGCAACCGTCAGCGTCGATGCAGAGCCCCAGGTGAAGGTGCTTCTTGAAAGTTTGGTTGATGGGCCGCAACTCCTTCGAACATTTCGGTCCCAATCCCGGCGCAGCAATTGCTTCAGCAACTCCAAAATTGTGTGGGGCTTAATACTATTCCTGGCCTCCAAATTTGCCCACTCATTGTAATCGACCGGGCTGAGATTCGTGAAGTGTTTTTCGTCTTTAAATTAGGTACGTTCCCAGCGTACCTGCAACACGGCGTTGAAGTTGGCGGTATACCTCTAAAGCCGGACTCGCTTTTGTCGGTACGTAGGCAGTTCAACGTTTTGAGGCTTGTGAGTCTTGAGTTTTGAGCTACTTTCTTGCCGTTTGCCGCACCGATTCACGTTAGATTCCGGTCTCGCGACCAAAGTTTTTCATGGAGACCCTCAGATTTCGGTTGACTCGCTTCCCGATAATCTGACGGTTGATGGAGGTGGTAACACCACGCTTTCACCCTTTTTCGGGATGGTCGCATTCATGGCAGATCTCTTGGAAACACTTAATAGTATCAGTTATGGTGTATCAAGAACCTTCAAGCAATCGAACAATTTTATATTAGTGAAGACTTTATAGAAACAGCTTCCAAAACGCAGCAAGTTTGTTAGACATTCTAAAAAAAAAACATTTTTAGAGGAGACTTGTAAAGAAAAATTATATTAAAGTAAAGTACTTCACATTTAAATACGCAAGTAATTTTTTACGAATAGAAACGTTATGCTTGCTGAGAAGCTCTGAAGTGTGTTTTCTTTCCTGGTCACCCTGTAAATACCTTCTAAACAATCTTCTAAGCTTTGAGCTAGGCAATCCACCTTCTTAAATAAGTTGTCCTGTATATTTTGCTCCTAATAAAACTTGTACTTCTGGATTTTTAATTTTCATCATTCTATCTTCAAGTTATACGCTGGCTAAATGTAAATATATATATATATATATATATATATATATTCTAAGGAGACCTTCTCACGTGGCTCCAAAATCTCCAAGACAAACTTGTTATTTGTCAAGAATTTAAACCACCATGCAACAAAAAAGACTGTGAATACAGGCTGCTATATATACATTGAAATAAACGAAAATTAGGAGCCATTTCACTTTCTAAAGGTGGACGACCAGCGAAGCTGTTTAGCAGACCACAAATATACAACATTTTGAACAAGCTACAAACACATTCATTGTCTTGATCAGTGGTCATCGTGACGAAATGTGCGCACACGCACCTGCAGCCCGCCGCCTTCAAGGAGAATGCAGGGATGGTGTTCCACGCGCCGCACGTGCACGCCTTCCCCGTATCGAATATTCGAAATAAGTAACCAAAATAAAGCGTTGACGAACTCGCGTGCAAGATGGCATTTGTTTTAGGATTTTGCTTCATAGCATTTACTGCTCAAGACGACGGCGGGTACGGCGCTTGTGTGCGGTGCGAGCGTAGTTTCTGGTCACGCACACAAGGAATCTACGGAAGCTTAGACAAAAACTGCTTTGCTGTAAAAGCGAAAAAAAAGCAACCTACTATCGAAATTCACCTGTTCAGTTTTGTTTAGTTCAACTCCCCAAATCTACACAGTTGCATCTAACTCCATAATCTTCCTAACTCGCAATTTTCGAACAATGTTGGTCTCACGCTCGAAGACTGTTTTAATGCGATGTACAACCAAGAAAAAAAAAAGGTTTTATGTAGAGATAATTAAAAACCACCAAGCATGGCACACAATTATGAAGGACAACTCCACCAACAGGGATTTTATTTACCATCCAGTGTACACTTATATACCAGATGTGTTTTGGAGGTAGTATGAACTTTTGCGGACGCCGACTAATCCAATATAGACGTTCGGCGCATGGCGTTTGCTGCAAGCAGCTTTGGGGAAACTGCTTGCAGCAAACGCAACTTTAGGAAAGCAGGAATCCACACGTCAGAGCGTTTGTTTGAGTGAGCAAAGGAGCAGGTAAAAACGAAAAGGTTGATGCTTATTCAAACGGCGAACGTCATTTCTAATCTATAAAAAGGAAAATAAATACATAATAAAAACTTCAAGATATCTTATTCTGATCTTTTTCTAGTGTGTAAAGCTATTGCCCCTGTCATCAGAGGCAAGTAAACGGCAAAAACACGAACAAAATGCTCGCGTCACATTTATTAGGATATGTGTGCGTAATGATATATTCGGCATACAAAAACTGTTTCTGGCTTTTGTGTGCTCTTTTGTCTCGAGTAGCCTTTGCATTTACATTTTTCTCGGTTTCTATTTTTTTTTTTTTTTCAAAGGGGCGATTCTGGGTTGGCGCACATAACAACAATTGCGCGGCCTGCCTCGTAATGACGATCGCGCGGGCTGTCGCAATGAACGTCTCACAATGAAAGGTGCCCAGAAAACAAGTATATCGCCTGTCAAAAACCAGAAAGACTGTGCTTCTACGAAGACGTGTGTGACACTGCCCTTCTTAAAGCACTGAGAACTCACGCAACCGAGAATAGGTGGTATATCAAGATATCTTTGTCATAATTAATTTCTGTCACTTCAGTGGCCGCTAGATGGCAGACGATACTTGAAGCCGAGGCTATGCGAGCTTCTTCAGCCCATAATAGAGACAGTCACCCCAAAAACGGGGAAATGTGAACAGAAATCATGCCCATTTTCCTTTTGAGCCACACCCTTAATTTCCTGCGCAACTGTTGCGTGCTACCTCATCGAGTTTTCCAACTCAAGTTTTGCGAGTTGGTAACTGGAGTCTGTGCAGAATTGCAATCGCTTCTGCTGTCGTTTATTACACAACCCATCGGGCCAGGGAAACATTGAGAAAAGTGATAATGATAAAACATGTATGCAGGTATCAGCAGTTATTATTCAAAAGTATTTTCTAGTATCATAAGTAATTGTTTACTAGCAAGGAGTAAAGTTCTATATTTCGGGGACACGCTATGAGCGCAGCCATATTTGCGCCCCTGTCGGGACGCCACCTTCGCGAGCTGGGCCCGGTCCATTTGAGTACTTTTAACCCCAAATAATCGGGCCCTGCGCCTAAGGTGGTCAGGCTCTATCACTTGCGGCACTATGTTTCGTCAAAATAAACCATGCCCCAACTAGCCCAGGTTTATGCTTTGCTGCGGCTGACTACGAGACCATATAAACAAGACTACGGCATCACTAACTTTTTGCATTTTTAAAATTTGAAGCCTTCCAAACATTAAGTTTTTATAGTGAAGTGTCAGAAATTAGAGCATGCCTTTGTTGTCAATAATTACTCCTACAGCGTACTCTAAAAAATAAAAAAAACGGCTATACTGCGTTTCACAATAAATCCGTGCGCCACCGACGGTGCTATTTGAAATAGCCAATCAAGTAGCCCCGAAAGTGCTTTGTCATCCGGTCTTCGTCGTATTCATGCTTTTGCTATCATCGGCTAAATCAATCGCGCAGATTGAATGCACCATGATCGTGCATTTGTTTTCAGCGCGTGGTTTGTTTAGCCAATGATGCCACTCATAAAGGCGGTAAAGGCCGTGACGATTCACTTTTGACATTGTTTGCTGGGCTCTACCGGATCGTTGCTCGCTGCACTTGGGGTTTGTTTGAGACGGAGCATAGTCACGACATAGACCCCGTACCACAGGATTTACCGTTACTACACAAGCCCACTTTTAAGACGGCTGAGGCATTCTACGAGCACAGTGTGAAACCTGGTTCATGCAAACACAGCTCCTAGTCCAGTCGCTTGTTTTTCTATTTCACTCAACAAGTAACAATTGATGCGGCGACGAAAGACTCAAGGAAAACTTTACGTGTATTTTGGCGAACTTGCGCCCAACACAAAATAGAAAAAAGTCTGGCGTCGCGGGTTCGGTAGCGGCGTAACAGCAGAATCAAGCGCTGGGGCGACGCTCACTGCGGCTAGCCACCTGGAGCAGCCTTATGTGCACGCGTTGGCGTCTGGAACAATCGGAATAAAAGGTCAGGCGGGTAAAATCAGTGCCGGTTCGTGGGAGTTTCTTTGGCCAAGTTCAGGACCAGTACGCCTCTGTAAGGTCATGAACATTTCAACTTAATATCGTTTCGCAACCCGTTTAACTTGTACAACTGAATACACCAGTTAAATCTCCAACTTTGCTTTCTGTGCAGCATTAATGCTTTCAAGCACAGGTGACGTAAGCAAACTCGACATGCTTCCGAAAACGAAGTGACCGGTAGTCGCTTGG